AAAAGCGCTCTACATTGGGTTTGCTTTGGTCTCAACAGCCACTTCAATTTGACGCTGCCCCGTAACTTAGCCTAGTAGAGCCCCCCGGGTTTGAAATAGACCCCCTTCGCGCGTGGTAAGGATCGCTTGTTGCAATGATCGACTGTTTGGATGATCAACCCCTCAACAGTGTGCAGAAAACTGGTCGAACCGAGAGTCTGAGAGGCTTTGTGTTGTGAGAATAAATCAATCGTTTTTGGCTTTGCATTGCATGTTTTTTGGACCAAGAAGAGAACCCAGTTGGACTTTATCTGCCACTCACAACATAAGAAAGCGCAAATAAATATATCAGAAAATCACCAGTATATATTCACGTGTTCAATATCCAATACGCCTGGAACATTTTCGCTTGGACATGCCATTTAAGATCAATGAAGATATACTAACATAATTACTACGTATCCATACATTTCCTCAAGAGGACCCTGAGATTCCACCTCCTAAACCCATCTACCCCGAGGCAGCGTTGTGGTGGTCGATGGCCACCATCTCCACGGTGGGCTATGGTGATATGGCGCACCGATCCTATGGCGCTCGTGGGTCATAGCAAACGGCTCCTGTGTGGCTCATTGGATTCATGTCTCCCAGAAGGGTTGGACTTTAAGCGGTTGGAATGTCCTTTTGGGAAGAATTCCGGTCGAATGCCATATGCAAGAGGTTCGTGCTTGGCCGGTGAACGAGTTCGGTGGTGGAAAACCACATGTTCTCCCTTGTAGGAAAACGAGGAAAGCCCAGCAACACATAGTTTTTGTGATCGCCTGGAACTGATTCAGACTTTATCTTGCTAAAACCGCTATAGACTGCTGCATGATTTGAACAAAAGAGCACCAAAGCTGCTTTGAAGCATCAGATCCATCGAGTCTTTTGCTTGAAGCTTTGCATCGGGGAAACCCCGGAGAGGTCACCTGAAATAGAACACAAACAGACATATAGACTTTGAACGAGGAATTGGGATGATTTGGGGGATTTCCCACGAATCCAATGGGTTGTGAATCTATTGGGGTGTATCCATTTGATGGAGACTCCTCCACAGAGACATGCAGAGACTAAGTTGCCAAGAACGTGAACAACTAGGATGCCTGTGTGTGTGTGTGCAAGCCTGAAGAATCCTGAATCATGTGTGAGTGTCCAATGAAGTGTGACAGATGTCACGCTTAGGACAAGTGCAAATTTTACCTCAAGTGCTCAAGTTCATCCGCTGTGTCCAATAGTGTGCTGCCCAAGGATACCTGAATGGATACCCATCAGCTCTTGCATCCAATCTGCCGCTGCTTCTCGTAGAGACGTCGTCCAACCGCCTGACCTAACCGCCCGCCCATCCGTCCTTGCCCGTCCTTACCTGCGGGACCGGTCGCGAGTTCGCCATCTCAGGTGCCCCATACGTCCATTGGCAAGCTGGTGGGAGGAGTGCGGGCGCCCGGCTGGCAAGCCTGCCGCCTGTCTACGTGGCAGTTTTCTGTGGGCGCGGGCGAGACATGCGCGCGCAAGGCATCCGGAAATGCGGTGGCTGGAATAGGCAGGATGATGTGACCTAGCCTCCTCTTGCTTGTGGGGATGTCTTGTAATTATGGATGATTGATGATGATTTTGATGGACAAAATTGCACGCCACCTGAGTAAACATGGAGACATATGCCTGCATTTCAGTTTCCACGTACAAAGCCTTATGTGGGTCGACGTAACATTGAACCCCCAAAAAGACAAACGTCCTGTAGTAGGAATGATGTAGGAATGTAATGCGTGTGATGTGGAAGCGTGTTCCAATCTAGTTGGCCATTGCCATGTCACAATGTTGCCCTCAACAAGTTGAGAACGCTTGGATCCTTGGCTGGCACTTCCTTTTCAAGCTTTGGACTGGGTGAGATGAGGCTTGTGGGATGTTAGCTGTCAATGGGTGAGCCACTCTCTTACAAAAGCCGCCACTGCCCAGGTACCTCGACAAGAAAACGGGCGAAAGGATTTGCCAAGAAACCACTCCCTGGATCCTCAGCCACCGGTCGCCCCACAAGTAGAAGATTGCAACATCTGAAGACTGGAGTCGAAGCAGCTGTATTCATCAATTTATACCACCCCGAGGCTGCCAGAGGTCTGGAGATTCGTGTAAACCATGTTGCAGCAACTTTTTGAATTTCAACTGCTTGGGCGAAAAAGAATTTCGAGGTCTCCATGCTTGGTGGTATCCTCATCACCTCCATCTCGGTGGCGGTCATCACCACCTCCTTCACTGAGCACTACCAGCAGCGATGCAGAGTGCACGAGGCAAAGCGTGAAGCGTTGCTCCACAGCGAAGGTGCAGGGTTTGGAGCCATTTGAATGAGGAGGTAGTCATACATTGATCATTTGGAGCCATTTGGATAATGAGGGTTTGGAGCTCCAGGGTTTGTCGAAGAAATTCATGGCCCTGGCGCCAAAGTTGAAGTGTTCAATTTTCAACTGTCAACGCAGAAAGCCAGTTGTTTCGGGACGGGGGTCACTCTGTTTTGATCGCGAGGAAGCAAAGATATAAAATATATAAGTACTGTAAAAGTGAAGAAATGAACACATCAGCCATGTTCAATGCCATGGCTGAATTGTCCCTTGAACAGGAGGTTCACCCACTAAGGTTGTTCATTGGCTTGTTGTAGGAATATCCTTGACCTCCGAACATGAACATGTTAAATTTTGCAAGCTTCCACCTCATAGTCCTTTGCAAAATCTTTTCAACAGGATCTCCTGGTCCATCTTCTGGTCCAGATCCAATCCCCACAGCAGCTTCTGCGATGGTTCTCCGCCAGTCGTTCTTCGCCCTCGGTTCTTTGCAGGTCACCAAGTTCAAAGAGTTGGCTCGGAAGCAGTCAGTCCTCAGTCTGCCTGGCAATGTGACTTATTTGCTGCTTTTCTCCGATCTTTTCTCCCTGGTGCGCATCATATCGACACCCTGGTGCATGGCGTGTTTTGGTGTGTTTGGGTGTTTATCCTGAGGGCTAGTGCCCTACCTCGTTCCTCATATTTCCTCATGTTGATTCAGCGTGGACTCCGAAGAAACAGAACGGTTGGCAACCTGAACCATACAAACATATGCGGGCGTTTATGACATGTACTCTAGGACTGTCGGACTAGTGGTCAGAGGTACTGGACCGTGGTCGAGGTAGTCGAGCTGCGCAGTCTTGTTGGTTTTTGGACACAGAAGTCAATAGTGACTCCGGGATAGTGTTTGGATTGGTTCATCTCATGGTAGAAGCAGGCTTTCTGACCTTGCATGTCCTTGAGACAACCAGTCTGACATGGAAAGAATCTACAAACAGCCACCAAAGAGGAATGGCTCATGCCGTTTTCTCGAGGTCAAGTATACACGCACGGCATTGGTGAAAAGTCTCAGATTGCACGCCAGGCATCAACGACGAGGCCACGCCCACATCCAGCACGGCTGCAAGGCAGTCAATGGACACGGAGCGGCTCGCTGTTTGGGCTTTAATGGTTTGTATGATTGGCAGTAGGGGCCACCAAGGATGGTTCAGCGCCAATGGTGACGTTATAAAGAACATTTGGAGGGGCCTATAGTTTGGTAGGAAGGATGGAATTGTCTGAGTGGAGATCATGTGATGGCCTCCCAAGCCCGAGCAATTTTGGTGGTGGTTATACAGACTCGTATTTGTTTTGACTGAATCGCTCAGACTGGTAGATTTGTGAAGCTCGCGCATTCAAGGACTGAACAGGGAGTCCTTTTTCGTGGGTGTTCTTCTATTTGGAGACATCAGGTAGGATAGGATCAACAGAACTGAAGTGTGAAGCTGTGTGAAGCTGAAGCATGGGGGAAAGGATGTGGTATAAGCTTAAGAAGGATTTTACGATATAAGAAGTTTAAGAAGTTTAGCTCAATAAGGTTTTCCAAGTTCCCTTGGGATAAGCTTGTACTGGTTGTACTGGTTAAGCTTAGAAGTTTTAGCTTTGAGAAGCAACTTTTGTTTGGCCAGTGTAGGGTTGCCCTTGGCTTCAAGGATCTGAGACATGAATAGAAAAATCGACCGAAACCTGTCCTTTTCTCTCTGACGAGTACCATCGAAGGCAAGCGTCGGCTGGCCTAGGATAGAAGCAACTATTTGGTACTGTAGGGTTTCACTGGCTTCACTGGCTTCACTCTTCATTTATGAAGCTCACAAGGAACAACCCATCGAGCTCCGGTCACTCCTTTTGGTGCTTCAACCGGAGCGCCGTGTGGGATCGACGGGCGACCCGAGTGGCGAAGAACCCACGAGACCGACGGGACCGACGGCAGGTCACGTTCCCCAGATGTCCTGGCAACTTGGCAGGAGCTTGAGGAGGACAGGAGCGCAGGCATGCGTGGGCACGAAGAGGGGCCGGTGCCCCTGAAGGTTCACAGCTGGGGCCAGCAGTGAAGCTGTGAAGCCGGCGCCGAAGACACGAAAGACACTTAGTTTTGAGGTTACCGAAAGGATCCACGCTTTCACCAGTTCCATTGATAGCGCGGCGAGTTCCAGTGACCAGAGGCTTACAAAACCGGGTAGATGTGGAATCATCCTTAGCCTTTCCACCCGCTCCGACTGTACGTAGAGTCGTCGCTTGGATCTTCGTCTTCAGGCCGGTTGGATCTGGGTCACATGTCGGTGCTGCGGTGCTGCGGTGCAGGAGGTGCAAAAGCAGTTGGTTCGACTTGAAGCCGAACTGCTCTTCCGGCCCTTGAGGAACAGGTGCCTGGCGGGACCTGGGAACCCGGGAGGGACCTGGTGCCGTTGGGGAGCATCTGATCATTTGCAAGTAACTATTGTTTATTCAATTCTATTCATATATATATAATATCAGTCATTCTGTCATTCCCAAACTTTGACCAGACTCTTGGCAAACAATGGCGAACAGTCTAAACAGTCTTGGTGAGCTTGCATCAATCTAGTCACATTTAGTCAAGGTTGGTGCATTTGAGCAGAGGGTGGCACTTCGGCTGAAATGGTTGCAGGTCAAAAACTTGTATGTTAACGCCAGAATATCAGCTTCCTCACAATTTTGGATTTGCCTACCTAGGATTAGCTGTAGGTGTTTAAGTTTCGACCCTTAGCTGTGTATTTCAAAAAGAGAGGCGTATTTCCCAGTCATTTCCAGTCCATTGTTGAAGTTCCCCATCCTGCGGCTGATCCATCGAGGGTCCCTTGTCCCTGACCCGCACAATGTCGAGCAAGAGCTTGTCAAGGGGCCTAAGCATGTGGAAGTTTGCAGGAGCAACGTTCTTGTTCACACTGTTCTACAATTTCACAGTGTCAAAGATTCACTGGTTTCATGACCTGTCTAGAGAGTGATTGTTCACAGAAGACCATGGAATGCAGGTTGGATGTCCATGACCCAACGGACGGAAGGCTTCGACATGTTTTGTAGGTGGTCACGTCAGCCCTGATAGATGATGCTGGGTACTTTGATGCTATGTCTATGCCATAGGGATTCGCCAAGCTGGATAGAACTAAGCAAACCCCTGTCCAGCAGAGTTTTTCCATGCTTGTCCTTTGTTCAGTACATCTATGCTGAAACTTTTGCAGAGCTGTCTTGTGCAACACTTCTTCAACCATCGACCCTCAGTTGTGTTTGATTATCTAAGTGAGGACGTTATGTAGCTTTCTCTTTGTTTTGTTTGGGGGGGGCGACCGCAAGCGGCAAGCTGCTGCACTCACTGTCGCTGACCAATCTTGATCCCTGAAAGAGGGATCCGTCAGATCCAATCTTGGCATCCAGGCCGACGGATTATCACGTGGCATTGGAACTCTTGAAGGACTGCCTGATTTGTTGGTACCTATGTGTACCTTCAAGAACCCTTGGGATGATCTTGGGATGGCATCGCCTTTATCCAATTCCCCGGGGTCCGGTGACCAAGGGCGGAATGGGGATCCCAAGGACGTGCCGGACTGACGACTTGTCAAGTCGGAGGTGACGGATCTTGTGGATCTTGAATCTTCATGGTTGATGCGGATGGAGATGAGGAACACACTAGCTCCTGTTTGAGGGGGGCAGGACATTCTTGATATATCCAACAGTTCCTTTGTTTGTGAGTGCTTTTTGTTGCTTTAGAGTGGCAATATCCCTAGTGCTTTGGGGCTGATGGTGCTGGAAGACTGAGGAGTTGGAAGAACGTCTCATGCCGAAAGCACTAATGACTTTTTGGCTCAAATTTAGCTTTTTGCTATTATGATCAGCAAGAAATGGAAGCATGAATTGACCACTCAGCTTTTCGGTGACATGCCAGGACCAAACTCGGCGGTTCTCGATTTTTGGAATTTGCTCTCTCAGAGCCGGTCCAAGCGAACGGTCCGACCGATGCATCGCCTGTCGGTTCATCCGTTCGACTTAGGACGAGCAGATCCCAGCACAGGTGAAGTCATGAACCTGAACCTTATAAAACATCTGGCACAGGCTAGCGGCTATCTTACTCCAATACTCGAATATATTTGAACATCAGACGCGAATCGACTGGACAACGAAAGATCACTTGACCCACCCAATGACCACCCGAGATCATCGCAACTATACTCACCCATGTACCACCCATTTTCTCCACCAGATCATTGACAAAACCAAACAAGTCATCAGCTCATCCTTGGATTCCACATGACTCTTGATCTTCATGGACATCCCCCCGCCTCCCTTGGCTCCGCAGCCGCCGCTCTCCGTTCCGCTTCCGCCGCCGCCGCTCCTGTCGCTGGCGCCGCCGCCGCCGCTGCCGCCCGAGCAACGGCCGCCGCCGCCACTGCCGGCGCTGCCGAGGGCACCAGACTCTGACGTGGAGCTTTGGGGGCCCTCAGTGGCGGCATATGTGCAAGAACCTTGGGTGAAACTCTTGGGGACAGTCAAACGAAACTTGGGCTTTGGGATTTGGGATAATATGAATGGATACAAAAGATTCCTCTGGATTCCGCCATGTGTCTGGAGCGTCCGTGAAGCCAATTATGGGTCTTCGTAGATTGTCACATCCCGGACACTCCATGTATGGTATATTTACCTACATTGGGGTGGTTTGGGGGGTCAATGTAGGCATATACGGCATACATAGAGTGTCTGGGCATTATTGCTCATTTGTGCTTGAAAGACCTTGCTGAGGAGAAAGCCTTGGAAGACTTGCAGCGGGCCATCCAAAGCGCTGAGCAACAGCTGAGAGGGAGCCTGCAGGAGACCTTCGGATTGAATCATGAGCCTTGGCTGAATGGCTGATGACGGAGGAAGGCTTTGATCTGGCTTGGCGTTGCACCTGAAAACGCCGAAAGCCCCGAAACGGCTGGTCTTTGACTGGCTAAGTGTGGTTCAGAGTCGCAGGTGTTCTCAAAGAGGATGGTCACGGTCGATGGGTTCGAGGGAAGGTGCACGGGCGTTGCCGGCGTTCCCGCTAGCCGAACTGGACAGTTCAGGCGGATCGTGGTTGACCCACTGGGTTGATGGGTTGATCTGTTGGAGTCGGAATATTTGGGCTGAGTTTTGTTCAAATCAACTTCGTAGAGAGTAACTAACATAGCTTAATTCACATTTCAGAGGAGGTCATAGGTCAGTTTGCAACCCTCTCCTGTTTTCCATGAACCGTACTTGATGCGGCTGAAGCTGTGCCTCAGAAAGGGGGAAGAAGATAGAAGAAGATTAAGACGTCAGGGATTGTGCCTAAAGATGATAAAGATGTGGAGTCTTGGAGAATATCCTCCCACATCCTGGAAGAAACATCAAGAAACCAGGTGAGCTTAGAGCTTTCTAGCTTACCCCTCATGTCTAGGACCTGGTTCACCTTGTGGAACCAGGTGCTGGCACGGCAGCTTTGTCCAAGGAATGGTTGGAACTGAAAGCCTTGCGTTGCGAAGAAGAGCTTCGCTCCGTCCTGGACTTCATCCGGAGCTTGGGCTCGGGGGAGAGGGCGACCCACCAAGCCGCTGCGCCGGAAGACGTCTTGCAACTGTTGCTTGGACCAAAGAGGAAAGTCAGGCCGCGGTTTCTCCATGGTGAAATAGTATGTTGTACTATAACTGAGTACTGATTATATAATATAAGAATACGACATTAATATACGGGTGCATTTCACACATGTTCTGTAGACAAGTCTCGGGACACTGGACACTCTTGGTAGACTGACTGTGCAGCTGAGAAAGCGCACGGTATCGCACGAAGCAGACAGAGGCAGTGTGCACGCGCTTTCGGCTGCTCAAGCGTCTGCCTGTTCGCCTGTTCCACCTTAGTTTGGGCCATGTTTGGGCCACACATGTTCTGTAGATTGGCCATTTGCTCAGAGAATTCCCAAACTCTAGCTCCTGGGCGTTCTCTAGCTCCTTTTTGGACACGAGCGTCCTTCTCAAGCGTCCTTCTCGCGACACGCGAAACCTGACTCGATCTGCAGGTTTCACGCGTTGGACTCGGATCTGCGCGAGGCACAAGCAGAGATTCGCATGTCCATCGTGGCTGGCATCCCACTGACCTCTCAGCATCCCATCTCAGGCGTGGAGAGGTTGCGCCGGAGAGGTTGTCGCAGTGCATGGGAAGAGCTGTGCGCGTACTGCGGGGAGGGGGGAATCTCTGAGCAATAAGCTCGAGGCAATGAGGGACTTGAGCGTGCGGATGGGAGAATGAAGTGTTGCAAAAAATCAAACATTTGGCCTCGCATGGTCGTATTTGTATATATGTTCGGTTCTCATGGACATGCCTTTCTATCCCACAAAAAGTCACCTCCTTGGTGAACGGTCCGGTTGGCCCATGTGGCCATGGGCACTGCCACGTTTTTCGCTCGGAAAACGCCCCGTTCGCAGAGTGATCAGAGTGCACCAGCCGGTGAAAACGTCCTTAGAAGCCGGATCACCTGGTGGCCTTTCGCACCTCACCATGGACCATGGCTTAGGACCTTTCACCCTCCCCTTGCCAAGCGCGCTGGAGGCGATACACCCCTGGACTTCGCCATCCTCCGTGGCCGCACCAGTTCCGTCCGCACGCTCCTGGCCTGCGGCGCCACGCCGTTTCGGCACACACGCGCCGATCCGGCGGAGCTCTTCGCAGCGGCCGAGCACTATGGCTTGGAGGACGTCGTGAGGCGGACCAGGGGGAGAGGAGGTGATGCGGAGCACAAATCGTGTAGGGCGAAAAACAATGGGCTTTCCATATGGTTGTTGTAGATATATTTGGGAGGAGTTTGTTTTTTTCATCCAAGTTTGCTTGGTTTATGTCAATTTATGTGATACTGTAAATGTTTCTGGTGAAGAAACACATCATCACTTAGGGTGACACTTCTTTTGGCAAACACATCATGGGTGTCTTTTAAGACATCGTTGGGACCGTTCGTCGGGACTGCGCCGAACCAAGAGAGGTAGCCAGTGACCGTACATAGGACCTGTCACCTGGGGGGTACCCTATGGGACGGTCTAGTTCGGGTCCTTCAACCTCCGGAAGTTGAAGGCGATGTTGCTTCGATCATTGTGAATAGCAAACATAACTGTAACATAACCTCTCTTTCGGTGAGCAAACCATTTTGGCTGTCTGACCACAACCGTATTTCTTGGAAGTGGATAGCACTGTGGTGGCTTGGACCAAAGCTTTTGGCTTGTGTCACAGAGAGGCCTTTCGCCTTCCAGAGACCCATCAGGAAATCGATAGAATAAGCTGAAGAAGAGTTGTTTACCCAAAGAGTTCGCGTAGGTCTTCGAAGACAACCATGACCAACACTTAATGACCGGTGGACCCATGTGGACCAAAATCGCTGTTTCTTCCCTAAGAATCACAGAGCCGACGTCCGCGTTTGACCGCCAATGCTTCCGCCCTCTTTGCCTTTGCCTCAGTCACTTGGGACACCCCCAGGCCGCGAGGGTTCTTAGCCACGGCCGCGACGGGTTCTTAGCCAGGCTTTGTTCTCAGTGGACGCGAACCGTGGAGGCCAAGCAGCAGCTCTTTGCATCGGCTCACCAAGGTGATGCGCTGCGTTGTGCGCAGCTGCTCCAGATGAAGGTGGACCCTTCCTCAAGGGAAGAGGTCACGGGCTTCAGCGTCACTTGGACGACTGATTTTATATGAATTGAAATGACCTGATGGGGTAGCCTAGACTTGAAGACTGGTGGTACTTGCAGCGTAGGTGCATAGACACCCATTGTTAACATCCTGTGTACTGGCTGGTGGTTGCTAACCGCATGATTGGCATTGCAAAGTTGTAAAGGCAATGGTCCTTGTTCGGGACCCATTCGTGGAGTTGTTATGAGTTTTTCCGCTTGGAACAGAATTCTAAACATCCTAAATGTGGTTTGCTCGCTGATCAGCAAGACTTAACACGGATCACACAGTCTATTTTCATACCAGCAGATTGAGTTTAACGAAGCAACCTTCTCGGTTCAGCAAGTTGTTTTCCACTGAAATAAGCAACTCTTTGGGTGCTGGTACCCACATCCGATGCAGTCACATGTTGTTTCTTTCTTGAACCAAGGGGGCAGAGAAAAAGAAGAGTCTGAGGTATTGGAATGGGCTGTGCTTTCACCTGCTTTGAATACAGATGTGGTACTTTGCTTGTTGCCCTACTCTGACTCCACCGCCAAGCAGTCGGCCTTGCGCATGTTTCTGGCCTGCAGGGCGGTGTTGAGTGATCAAATTCAGCAAGTCCCCCGACACTCCATGTGTGGCATATTCACCTATACTACATTGGGCTGGGTTTGGGGTGAACATATTCCATACATGGAGAGTTTGGGTTTGCTTGTTTGTATTAAATTAACACTTCCAGGGTTTTCAGATATATCTAGTTCATATGTATATATATATATTATATATAATCTATAGATATTGACGTGGGAGCTACCAGGATTCGCGTGGCTGCACAGGTCAGGGGTTACTGCTAAGATTGTTAACCAGCGTCTTCATCAGGGCAAACAGAGGTGAAAGGTGGGTTCATCAGTGGGTTCATCCTAAACCGTGCAACCCACCTGGGCTTGACATGGATCATCCTAAACATACAGTAGTTCATCCAACTGGACATGACATGGAGCAGTTTTTCCTCTCCTGTTCCCTCAGGGGTTGATCCACCAAACTTTGGAAAAGATTGCCCACCTGAACGGAAACCAGCCAGAGAACCCTGGTTCTAGGTGTAGTGTCAGGTGACTCACATCAAATTCTTGGGCCGCAACGGGGTATACGTATAGTGCAAAACGTTTGCATGAACACCATGATGCCAACAGTGGCAAACACACAAGCATGGCTTCACCATCATCATCCTCCTCCTCCTCCTCATCATCATCATCATCATCATAATCATCATCATCATCATCATCATCATCATCATCATCATCATCCTCATCCTCATCCTCATCCTCATCCTCATCCTCATCATCAGCGCAGGGGTGAGTCAGGGTCATCCACCTTTGAAATATTTCCTCATCATACAATTTAAATATAGAAGATACAAGAATTTCCTAGTCATTAATTATTAAAATGGTATAGTTCATGCATGATTTTCATCTTATAGTTCTCTTATATTTTTATCGGTAGGTTAGGCTCAATCGGTTAATAATTAATAATAAAGAAAATATTAATAATATGACATCAAAATCCTCAATCTAATAATATAATGGTGCATAATGCATAAGAAATATATATGAAATATAATGATAATGAATGATTATTAACAAGCCAAGAATAATATGGGTTCTTCATTTATATAAAAGATGTATGATAAAGATAAAAGTGTATGAACAATATGAAAATAAAAAATAATATCAGTCATTAGGTCTACAGCAGGTCTTTCGCAGCAATCGAGGTCGGCCATATATGGCGTGGGACTTGGCGTCCTGGAGGGTCTCCTGGGCGCGAACTGCGACCCCAGCCTGTGCGACGCTGATGGATGGACTCCATTGGATTGGGCCATCTCACAAGGTGCCAACAACGCAACCAACGCATGGCTGGTGGTGGTGCTGCTGGTGATGATGGTGCAAATAGAAACTAGAGTTGATAGAATGTGAGGCAAGCCTGTCAAAGCAAATGAACTAAGAGAGGCAGACGTCAGCGTTTTCATTTGCCTTCCCGAGCACCACACCATTCTACAGGCAATTCTAGGTTGTTGAGAACCTTGTAACTTGTAACGCTTCCCGGAAAGGATGGCGGACATACGAGCTCTAAGTAAATACCATATTTGCTTTCTGGGACCGCGTCCACCAATCCGACTCCGGCACAGGTGCCAGATGGCAACAGGTGTCTTTTAAAATGTTGCCCATTTTGTGTCTTTACCCGGGCTCAGTTGGATCATTTGTGCGATATGTTTGCCGCCTCACACCCCAAAGGCACCGTATTGTCATCAACTACATGTAGTATTCGTGGGCTCTTCGATTATTGTGCAAAGACTGGACAACTTGCCTTTCTGTAGGCTTCAAGACATCATCCACATCCTCCACGTATACGTTTGTATACCTCCACCTATGCCCCGCTCTCGAGGTCACGAGGATTTTGCCTTGGACCTTCTCCAGTATGGAGGGCCTCAGCTGGCATACGCCTGCCGAAGACCTTTGGCCTCTCTGGCGCGGGCGCCTTGGAAGAGGTGCAAAAATGGTGGTGGGTTGGTGCGGAGGGAAATGGAGGGAACTTACATGGTAAAGGCCATCTGTTCAACGGTTTCCTATCTTAAGACATCACAAGGCATCCCAGATCCCCACTTGATAGGGTAACTTTGTTCAGCAAACAACATGCACCCTGACGGCGGGGTGAGAGGTTCCAATGTTCTTTGAGGTTGTTGAAACACTCTCGGATGACAAGTCAAGCGGATCTAACATCAGAAGTCGTTTTATCCTCATGTTCGAGGTAGTTTCCTAGCCCTGTAACATGCTGCAAAATATATAGACATCACTCTTGTGACTATGCTGACTACCTCGACAACGTGCTCAATTTGGCATGTACGAGCATGCCCCTCAATAGCAGGGGTCCTCACCTACTGTAGAGGTGGATTTACTAGGTTTTTTGCACCAAATATCGGAGAGTGAAGGGCTTAAAAGCGTGGATCTTTAGAACTTATACAGCGATTTACAGAACTTCTACTAATTTCATGCCTTTAGTTGTCTTTGTAATTTTTCCTTGGGTTGTGACATTGTCGCGCCCACTTAGCTTGCCACTTCTTCCCTCCCAGGTGGCCCGCAGCCATCCCCATCGATTGCACCGCTTAGCCCAGTTGCTGGACCCAGGGACTCGGGCGGTGTTCGCTGGGCCCTCACTTTTTGCTGCAGGCTATGAAAAGGTGCACCTGGTGCACCTTCATTGTTTCAATAATGGTGGTTGAAGAAAATGGTTGGTTCAAAGTTTTGTTGGCAATTTGCCCGGCATTATGACATAGCAAGTCATATTACCAAGAACGATATCGTCCTCCAGTTCTAGCTAGCATGCTGACCACCACTCGGAACAGCCGGATATGTGAGCTTAAGCACATTTAGTCTACAGGAGTGTGCAATGTAGAGGAACACATGACGGGGTTTGGGTATTCTCACCAGACACCACAGAAACTATTGTCCAAATTTGTCCAAGAATGTCCAAGATATCGTGTAAGCAATGATTTGACTGGTCCGAAGGGTCCATTCGTCCTCTTCAAGGACCATCATTCTGAGCTCGGTTTGTTAGAGACCAAACTATGTTGGGACCTCCCAACACACTCACGGTCCGACATCATGTCCACAGACGTACACTTCTCAGAGGCAGTGCCAAGGAAGTCTTTTTATATATGACCAGTAACTACGAATGCGGTGGCCGTCTCAAGCTTCAGGGTATGCAGGTTTGGGGTGTCGCTCTTACCGAGATCCTTTCCACCTTTTCGCTCCTCTCCTCTTCTCTCTCTTGCCCCGCCCACTGTGCTCCTTCCACGGTCATCCCTTTTGCCTGTGGACTTTCCTGCGGCATCCTTCTTGGACTTTGCCTTGGAATTTGGGGCTCGTGGATTTTCTTACGGACCTATTTGGTCCATTTGCCTCCGGCCTCTCCTCAGGCCCCTTCAGATCCCGGCCTTCGTCGCCGTTCGATCTCTTCGAGGCTTCAAGCTTACGTGCATGAGTGAGATCACTGCTTTGCAACAAGATCTTCGTGAATTGACTCGAGCAGTGAGAGAGCTGACATTAGTCATTTCTCGTCAGCCTGGAAGTGCAATTGGAGGTGCTTCAGCCTCTAGTGTGCGTGTGGAGGAGGATAAGGTGAGTGAGAATTGGGATCTGGTGGAGGACAGTGTTGGCATCCCGGGTGCTCCAGCGAACTACCTCACAACAAACTTGGAGATCCAGTTCGAGGAAGGCCCTGGCCCGACTCCTCAATTTGTCATTGATCTAGCCAAGAGGCATCTTACATCTTCACGTCATTGTGCAGAAGATCGGGCTCGTGCTGCCTTTGTTGCTGGTTTTTGGGCAAAAGCCTTCTGGTCGTGTCACGCCAGCTCGCATCGCCCTAGTACCTACAAGCCGGGCATTGCAGCTACTCATTGGGTCCTGCGTCGTGGACCAGGTTTTGACCTGATCAGGGTGACCTCTCAATCTGACGCCGATCAGCTGTGCAAGGACTTTCCCGATATCGTGCCTGTGGAGAAACTCCCCAGTCTTACAGAGCTACAGATTTTCTGCGCTGGGGCGAGAGCCCCTGTTCCTGCTTTGTGGAAATGGAGCGGCAGCAGATAAGTTTCGCATCTCAGCATCGGGATCCTTCTCTTCTGGTGCTCACGGTGCCGGCAGAGATAGCAGTTGGTGGTGAGGAGCTTAGCGCCTTTGCTACGCCCCTGGATGCACGCCGTGATGGGCTCTTGTTGGCTTTTCCCAGTGGCCTCTTAGCTGAAAGTGCTTTGTCTCCAGCTGGTGGCTTTACAGATGATATGCTACTTGGCCCCTCACGTGAATTCGAGATGGATATGTTTGAAGAGGATGAGAGTGGTAATGTCTTTCCGACGGGCTCTAAGGGCTCAGTTTTGGTGGCAGATTTCAACAATGCCGTACTACCACTTCTCAGAGAATACGATCCGGTGACAGACTCTACTGAGGAGATCTTTTCTTTTGTGGACACAAACCCAGCGGCTATGCCTTCAGCAGCTGAACTTTTGTCAGTGGCTATGGATTGGGCCGCGGGTGACAGTGCTTCACGGGTCCATTTTTACAGCGCTCGAGAAGAGCCAGCAGTTCCAAAGATTCTAGCTTCATCGGGGAGACAGCCCGCTCTTCGGAAAGCGGGTGCGAAGAGGGTCACTACAGCCAGTTTGGCAGAGCAGTTGGTTGCATTGACGGCTCAGGTGGCCATGCTGCAGGCTACTCAGGAAGAGCAGAAGGTAGTACGAGACGTTCCTCCGCTACCTGTTTCCAAGAGTCCTCCCTCTGCCGATCCTGCCGGAGGGCTCACCGATTTGCCTATGGGAGTGGGGTTGCACAAGATGCCTCCTGTCTCGTTGGGCCTATCTCCTTCTGTTCCTCGAGTCAGCACTCCTGCCAAAGCATTGCAGTTGTTGGGGCCTCCTCCAAGGACCAGAATGTCGCCAAGTCCTCATCAGCCTCTTGAGAAGTGGGACAAGCCAGTAGATCCGCTCAAGGCTCCCCCCGAGATCTTGGAGAACACCCTGGCACAGCAGTCGGCTGCGCTCACCACTTTGGTGTCTCATTTGATCCAAAGCGGAGACACTTTGGGCCTCGAGGCCTCTGGCGCAACAGGGGCGAGTTCGAGTTCAACAAGAGGCACCTTGAAAAGAGAGCAATTGCAGCAAAGTCTAGCTACGGGACAGTCTCATTTCTTCATGATGTTGCAGCAGCAGATTTGCAGGCGGCTGCAGCCATCCAATGTGGTCCCAAAAACCGAGGACGAACTCAATGCTCGGGCCCCCTCACTTCTGACCTACCTGGAGCGCTATGGAGGTTTCAAGGGACAGAAAGAGGCGGGCTTGGCTATGTGGGTGATTGCTCATGCGGTCGATGCAGCCTCCAGAGGAGATTTTCATATGACTCGGGAGTATCTCGCCTTGGCGGTTATGGGTCTGGAGCAAAGTGCCTTCGATGTGGGCGCTTGGGACTTGGCCTATATAGTGACTCTGGCGGAGGATCCACCGGCGGCATTGTTCCAGGAAAAGATGAGCTCAGTGACTGCCTCAGCTCGTCCCTTCTCTCCGTTGATCCCAGCAGGTCTTGCTACAATCTCTCTGGCCTACTTGAAGGAGATCGATGTCTTGCAGAATCGGCGGCAAGAGATCCGCCCCAAGAAAGGTCAGGCTGGGAAGCAGGAGGAAGATTCATCGCCGAGCCCAAAACGAAGACCAAAGTTCCCGAAGAAGCCGAAGGCCATCACGGATGGCACAGCCTAGCGTCCCAGAAGCAGCGGAAATTCAGGAGTCATCTCAATGCAGTTTCTTCTGGTGCGCAAGACAGCCCAGGGAGGGACCTGCCAGAAGCGTGCTCGTCTCCTTGTGACACGAGGACCGCTTCTACAAGGCCTCCTTGCTCCCCAATGCCTGGGGGTACTGAACGGGGGGGTAAGCTCCCTGTAAGGTGCCTTGAGGCCGGGTTGAGCGGGCTTCAGTTCCTCAATTCCAGACAAGCCAGCTTTTCTTTGTGGATGTCGAAGCTGACTACACTGGTGTTGAAGTCTCGTTGTTCCTTTTCAGCATTTTTGGCAAATTCCATCCGTGTTTCCAAGAGCCCTTTTTCTCGGCCTCCAAGGACACCGTCTCTTTTCCCTGTGCCAGTTCCTGCTTCAGGAGCTTTTGACAGGATGCCCACTGGTCTGTCTAGTGCCAAGAGGAGGTCTTTGTTACTGAGGAGGGTCTTACACGTTTGCTGCATGGCTTTGAACTTTTGGCATTTTGGTGGGACCTTTGTCAGTGATGATCTTCTGTGGAGGGAGCCCAACGCAGCACACAAGCAACTTTTTGCTCGGCTGCGCTCCTTTATCAGAGCGGATGGGCCACATGAGACTTTTGATATGCTCCATGTTGGTCGCAAGAATCCAGAATTGATTGCAAGGTTGTCGGAGCTCTCGGCTCTCTTGGTGAAGCTGGGTTGCTCCATGTCGCCTTATGAAAAGGCTTTTGTTGGCTATGAGGTTGAGAAAGACAATACCATCCTCCCGGAGCTCGAGCCCTACCGAGATCTCGATCCAAGTCGCTTGAAACTCTCAGGGTCCGGAGCTTGGGATGTCACCAATTTCTTGCCCGACGATCTAGTCATGGTCTACCGGGAGCCGGAGTCGATTAGAGTTGACCGTGAACCTGCGACCTGGGAATATCCTCACATCCGGGATGCTCCAGAGACAGTTGCCGCTTTGGCCAAGCTGTGGGACTCACAAGGATTGCTTTTCTTGCATCAGGATCGAGTTCAACATAGACAGATTTTTGAGCTGGTGCGGATTTTTAACTGCTATAAATCAGTTGACAAAGACCGGCAGATCGGAGACCGCCGTGGGCGGAATGCTGTCGAGTGCAAAGTTCAAGGACCTTCGAGCAATCTTCCTGCCGGACCAGATCTTTGTGACTTGTTCCTTGACTTGCGGAAAAAGCGAATTTCTGTCTCCGTGTCGGATCGGCGTGATTTCTATCACCAGATTTGGGTGACCAGGTCAAGGGCTATTACCAACACTTTGGGCCCAGGCCTTCCTCAAGAGTGGCTGAAGCAAACCTCAGCATTTGGATCCTTTCTTCTGCGCAGTGCAAAAGCTAGATATCAACGACGTGAGCATGGTGATCACCTGCTGAGCTCCTGGAGAAACAGAGTTGACAAGCGTGGCCTTATTTGGGCGTCCTTCAAGAGCGTTCTGCAGGGTGACCATGCAGGTGTTGAAATTGCTACAGCTGCCCATTCCCAGTTGTTGAAGAATGTTGGCCTGTTGTCAGAGGATTCCAGCATGGTTGCTTCTCGGCCCTGGCGTGATGATTCTCTTGCTGAAGGTTTGGTCATTGACGATTACTTCGCAGTCTCAGTAGATGACAAGCACCTCCCGGATGAAGATACCAGGTCAGCTCAGGCCTACAGAACTGCTCAGAAAGCGTATGGTGCCGTGCCCCTTCTTGGATCTCCAGAGAAGGATGTCTTTGCAGCTTAAAGAGGGTAAGGTCATTGGGGCCTTCATCAATGGCAGCGATAGAGCTACGGCCCTTGGAGTTTGCACGGTGGCAGCCCCAGCAGCAAAACGACTTGCCCTATCGGCATTAACCTTGGAGCTGTGCTTGTTGCCTTACACAACAGTCTCGCTTCATCGGTGCATTCTTGGGGCTTGGGTCTCTGTCTTACTTTTTCGAAGGCCTATGATGAGTCTTTTGAATGAATCATTCCGCCTGGCTTCACTACATGACGACAAGCCCGATGCAGCTTTGATTCCCTTTCCCAGGGAGGTCGTCTGTGAGCTTGTGCTTGTTTCGGTTCTCATGCCACTGGCGGTGACTGATATCTCGGTTCCATTTGATGATAAGCTTTTTGCTTCAGATGCATCTGAGAACAGAGGTGCTATTTGCTCAGTGGAAGCAGATCCGGAGGTCACTAAGATCCTTTCCCGTGCATGCAAGACAAAAGGAGCTTACACTCGCCTTCAATCGCCCTGGGCACGTTTCATGCAAAAGCTTGGGTTGTCCGACGAGTCTGTTGAGGATGAGGCTTTCATTAGTGTCGACAGACCGCTTGCCTTCGCCTTCGAGTTCATCGAGATATTTGCAGGGTCCTCGCGAGTGACGCATGCTTTGGAGAGGCTTGGGGTCATCTGTGGGCCACCCATTGATTTGAGCAAGTCTGAGGAATACAATATGAAGGAAGTCTTTGTTCTTGAGTGGCTCTTTCATCTCATCGAACGGGGCTCCCTCCGTGCGTTTTTGCTGGAGCCGCCATGTACAACATTCTCGATCATGAGACGCCCTGCTTTGCGAGACCGCATCTGCCCTTTTGGTTTTGATCCCACAGATCCTCAAACCCATGATGGCAATGTGCTTGCTGGAAGATCTTTACAATTGCTACAGAAGGCTCGAGTACACCGAGTGTCTGGTATCCTCGAGAGGCCTTTTTCAGCCAAGACAAAGTACCTTCCAGCATATCAGTCTCTGCTCATGAAACCAGGTGTGACGGAGGTCCGCAGTGATCCTTGTCAGTTTGGGTCACAGCATCAGAAGTCTTTTGCTTTCCTTGGTGTGAACATTGATCTCTCACAATTGGCACGTCGCTGCAAGGGTGAATGTGATCATGTTCCCATTGCCGGTGTCTACACTAAAGCATCGGCTGTTTACACCTGGGAGCTCTCTATGGCTTTGGCTTGGACATTGAGGCATGCGATAAAGGAAGTGAAGAAGTCAGATCCGCTGGCTGGTGACATTGTTCCTGACGGCTTGGAGAATCAGCTGGTCAATGAGATCGTCTCAGGATCAACCTGGATAGTCGAGAACTCCTGGAGATTCAAGAGACCTCAGCATATAAACATCCTCGAGATGAAGTCTGTCGAAAGGTTGGTCATCAAGCAGGCGAAAAGAGGTCAGAGAAGATTCGTTTGTTTTGTGGATTCAAATGTCAGTAGAGGAGCTCTTGGCAAGGGAAGATCCGCGTCCTTTGCTCTTACAGCTGTGCTGCAGAGAATCGCCTCTTGCCTGGTTGCTTTTGGCCTCTACATGACCACCCCCTTCTGTCCTACAAGGCTAAACGTTGCAGATGATCCCACTCGTCTTCATGAGCTACGGGAGCCTCTTCCTGGACTTGGCTGGAAAGATCTTTCTTTTGGTGAACTATGGGATTTGGCACGTCTCCCAAAAGCTCGAAGGTGGGCCTCTAACTGGATTCGTCTGCTTTTGTTGCTGCGGGGTGCATCCATTTACAGACGAGCCTATGGTGCCTCACGATTTACCAGAACAAGTGAGCCAGTTCTTTTTGGACAGGATCATCATTGTCCAGCCTGTCCAGCTTTTGACTTCGCTTCGATGGACTTTGATCAAACTCTTGGTTTTCCCGGGGAGGGCCCTCCCTCATTCAGTCAGCCATCAAAACTCGCTCAGCTTTCAGCTTCTGTCTCTCTTTGGCGCTTGCTGCTACCTGGGCTTTTCTGGCTCCTTCTGCCACTCCTTTGCCTCGGCTCCTTGTTCTCGTTCCTCCTCTTTGCTCTGCGACACCCCTCCTGTGGTCGGGCGCGCGGCGCGGTAGTTTTTATCCTTTGCACTGCCGTTCCGGTGCGAGCAATGGAACCTCATACTGCTGGAGAACGGACGAGAGCTCAGGTAAGAGCACTTAGGCCTGCCCTTCCTAGTGGCAGGCCAACTCTGGAGGCGACTACTCGTTTGAGGGCCAGATATTGGAAAATTTTTGAAAGCTGGCTTTTAGCGGAAGGGGTTGATATTGCTCCACTGTTGGAAAGGCCCACCTTTTATGTTGAAGAGTGGAACGCAATTTTGACTAGGTTCGGTCGTGTGCTTTACGAAGCAGGGAAGCCGTACAATCAATACGCAGAGACAATCAACTACTTGACTTCACTTCGTCCCACGATCCGTCGGCAGATGCAGGGATCGTGGGATTTAGCGTACAGTTGGATGGCTTCAGAACCGACATGTCACCATGTTGCAATGCCGTGGCAAGTTTTGCTGGCCATGGTAACCACTTGTCTTCTTTGGGGGTGGGTTCCCCTGGCTGGAGCTTTATCTTTATGCTGGGGTGCTCTTTTAAGGGCTGGTGAGTTTCTTTCAGCAACCCGTTCAAATCTTCTGCTGCCATGTGATGTGCAAGAGACTATTGCGTATGCAATGGTGGCGATCGTCGAACCAAAAACTCGAAACTCTGGAGCGCGTCATCAGGCCGCTAAGCTGGAGATCCCAGACCTCCTTTTGGTCGTAAATTTAGCCTTTGGTAGGCTGCCTGAAACAGCAAAGCTTTGGAGCTGGTCTGGACAAACACTGAGACAAAGGTTTCGTGATGTTCTTGCAGCCCTCCTTCTTCCCCTTGAACGTCGTGGAGAGTTGAAGCCCTTGGACCTAGGCTCACTTCGGGCTGGTGGTGCTACGTGGCACTTAGCCATGACCGAAAACAGCGAATACACTCGCAGAAAGGGGAGATGGTTGAGCAGTCGTGTGATGGAGATTTACGTGCAAGAAACCACAGCACTTTTGTTTCTAAAAAGGGTTCCTGCTCCAGCTCGTGAACGAGTCCTCAGCCTTGCAGCTTTGTTCCCTCAGGTGCTCCAACAGAGTTTGAAGTTTAGCCGACTGAGTTTGCCTTTTTCTTTTTGGCGACACCTCTTTGGCCACGAAGCATGGACGGAGCGGACAGAGCGGAGTTGAGCTGCGGTTGATCGCAGCCTGTGACACGCTCTCTGGATG